AATTCTTTGATTTGTGGCAGTATCAATGAAACAAGGTTTTTGTAACTATTAAGAACTTTGTTTTTCACATGCCTCAATTCCTGCAAAGGCTACAGCTTACATATGCAAGCAAAAACAAATAAGAAAACTCCAGCGCTTAGAAATGCTTTTCTTTCTTCTCTGCTATCAGCAACTGTAGAGGTTGAAGAGACAAGGAAGCAATCACCAGCAGCACAAATACACTTCACACACCTGCTTCAATACAGTGCTGAATGGTCCCTTTCACCCCATATTAACTGCTCATCAAGCTTCCTCCATTCTACAGCAGCAGTATCACCAGCTTCCATTCCCTTATTGCCATCCCCTCTCCCCTCCTCTCTGGACTAGATAGGACAGCCTTCCTGGTTCCAAAGCAACCCCTTTTGACTCCTGACCCACCCACCACCCACAGTCCACACTCTCACATACCATTTTGCTATATTTCTAAGTACAAATCTGTTCGCATTACTTAACCTGTTTACACAGATTTAAATCCAAACTTCTGCACCATTTGAAAACCCTTCATAATCTGCTCCAGACCCACTTTCCTAATCTCATCTCTTGAATTCCCCTCTAATGCCTGTATCCTACACTCCAGCTGCACAAAATCAGCTTCTCTAATTCTGAATTTCAAAACATCCAATACAGCAAGTTCTTTAAGAATACCTGACGGGGCCACACCCTTTCCTCCCCACCACCATCTCTAATCAATATCCAGCAAAAACATCACTCTGTTTGAGAATCTCTCTGGTTACACACTGGACTTGTTCCTCTGTACTACCGAGCATTTTGTATGTGACACCTAGTACAGCCCTCACCATACTGTGTTATGACTATGTTTATTTCTCCCCAACCAGCCTGCAAGCTTCTTGGGCACAGGGAAGCCTTCTGATTTACTTCCAGATACATTCTCAACCCTGGCTCTGTATCAGAATCATATGAAAAACTTTAAAAAATATACTCATTAGATGCTCACCCTAGGCGTAGAATGTCCTAAGCTTTGGTACCAATATTCCCTCTGTTGTGTATTTTTAAGCACCATCCATACCTATTTTAATGAAAATAATAATGATAATGGATAATACTTATCATGACTACTTTTATTCCTAATAATTCTACCAGCTAGGAATTATTTGCATTTTACAGACAGAGAAAATGAGGCATAGAGAGGTAAAATAAGCCATGCATGGATTTCTTCCCTGGCAAATTTGTTTACAATGCAGTCTACAGTCTAGATCTAGGTTTAGACTCACTGCATTGTAGAATGACAGAATATAAATCATGGTTACTTTGTCTAATCTATCCAAAGAATTCAAAGGGCCCTGTGACCTAAATCCCACACAGTCCCCATCCTCTAAGGGCACCCTATGGTGGTGGGTTTTGACCACTCATGCACATATTGCATTCATTTTCTGAGTATTCTCAAACTTCAGGACCTGTACCCCAAGGGCATCTCATCCAACACAAAGGTTGCCCCTCTTGGATAGGGGCAGCGCAGGAAACAAACAGAAGATGCTCTAGAACCAGAGGGTTGTCAGGCAGGACCACTGACTAGCTTAAAAGGTAAAAGCCCTCCTGTGCCATGAAAAACTGCCTGGTATAATCACAAAATCAGCTGCCTTAATCTTTTGACTCCCTGTATAAGCGGCCCCTACCTATAGAGTGATTTGCCCTTTAAAGGCTGTAAGATCAAGCTGTTGCCCACCTCTAACTACCTGCTTCCCCCACAACACCGGTTCTTGTCTGAGTCTTCCCAGTACCCTTATACACTCATCACCATCCCCTCTGTGCCTTTCTCCTCTCCTGGCTGCAAGTCTTCTCCCCAAGTCAAGTCTCATAAAGAATCTCTTGCTTGAGTTAAAAATAAAATTAAATAAGAGGCAGTCTCGCATGGGCCCACTGATCTCACCAATGTTGCACTCATATACGTTTTACGTAATGTCCAGTAGTCATGTGTTTTCTGACCTAGGCCGTGAATTTGAGATTACTATCTATCCTCTGCTCCCATCACATTATCCAACGGCACCTAACAGCCCAACAAAGATAACTGCAAAGTCCTTAAAAGCTGTTTAATGTGTTTCCACCCAAAACTTCTTTGGGTTCTGAATAATGACCTCTATTTACTCGTCTGAGAGTTAAAACCAGGGACAGATCCAGTGGGTCACTAGTTACAATTTCACACCTCTCAGACAGGCTTTACAAGAACGAGCTATATTTAAGGTACTAAAAATGTCAAGCCCCACACTGCGCTGCATAATTTGACAGCCTGTACTACTAAGAAAAGTAACTTTCGGTGCCATGAATTTGTAATTAAGCTACCACTTTTCCATACTTTAAAGTTAGGGGAGGCAGAGATAATTTCAAAAGAAGACTTCATTTCACTTGGGGGGAATTTCCAAAAGCGCACATGGAAAACAGACGAACCTAACTATCCATAACGCACACACGGCTCCGGGATGGAAGGGCCGGCCGCGGCGCTCACCTGAGAGCGGTGGCCGGTCGGGCTCCTGGCCGCCGCGGGCGGGCGGCGCGGGGTTGAGCAGGTGCGCGAAGCTGGCAGCGAAGGGGTTGGCAGCGAGCGGCTCGGTGCGGTACATCTCCCAGAGCAGGTAGAGCGCCGTGAGACGCTGCGCCGCGCTGGGCAGCAGGTCCGGCTGCTGCAGCAGCATTACGAGCACAGAGCCCAGGCGGAAGTGGTCGGCCTTGCTGAAGTAGTGGTGGAAAGCGGTGGAGAGGCCCTCGAAGGTGGTGCCGCCGCCCGCCTCCTCCGAGATGATGCTCAGCAGGCTCGAGAGCTCCTTCGGGGTCAGGCTCATCCTGCCCGCAGGGCCCCCCGGCCCTCCACTGCCCGGCCCCGGGCCGCCTGCTCCGCCTCTGCCGGTGGTGCCGGAGCCCCCCGGACCGCTCCTGGGCGCCGACCCCACCACTTCCCGGGCCCCTTTTTGCTCCGCAGCGGTGAGAAGCCGGCCAGACGCCGCGATCGCCCCGCCGCCGGGCATCAACTTCGTTCGCCTACCCCGCTTCCCGGCCGGAGTGGCCCTGACGCCGGCTAGCTCCGTCCCGCGGCCGTAAAGCGCGCTGTTGCACGACAGCGTCGCAAACTAAATTCGTCGGGGAAGCCAGACCGCCTCATAGGCCTGGGCAGCGCCGAGTGAAAGCGAGGCTGGGGGAACGAAGCCAAGGAGAGGTTCCGAAGAAGTCGGGTGGGCGGGGTTAAGAGGCCGGAAGTGGGGGCGGGGCCTGCGCGGTTCCGCTCCTGGGCTGCGGGGTCCTACACTTTGGCGAGCGAGCATCTGGTGTGGTCCTGGGCGCTAAGTGTTCCCGATATACGTGGACTACATTATTTGGGAAAATGCATCTCAGATTATAAATTGTTTTCTTAATATGACATACATGACTCTTCATGGTGAAAAAGAAAGTTTATGTGCAAGTAACTGAAGACCTAACACGTTACTCATAACCGAAGTTAACTTCCAGATTTACACTCTTTTTTGGAGAAATGGAATCATATTGCCCTAGAGCTTTTGTATGTGGTACTTTAACAAGATTTCGGAGAAATGTTTCCAGTAAATACTCATTTACAAAACTGCAACTTTTTACTTAGTTTGCCCTAAGACGCTGATTCTGGGACTTGGCTGCTTGCTGGAAGCCCCCAGGGAGTCTAAAAATGCTAGCGCCTGGTCCCACCCCCAGAGTTAATGACTCAGGTATTACAAAACAAAAAATAAACACCTCCCCTAGTGTGCTCTCTGTGCACTCTGGGCTGAGAATCACCCGGTGGTGTTTCCTAGACTTGCCCAGCTCCTCCCTGGACCCACTGAAATCTACAGGTATATTTCACCATCTATTCCCACCAGGTGAGTTTGGGAAATCCAGTCTGCACTAAACAGTGCTAGCAGTTTAAGAATTATCAAGTTAAGCACCACCTTAATTCTAAAGTAAAATTGACACAACAGAAATTTGTCCTCTCACAGCTCTGGAGGCTAAAAGGGCAAAATGAAGGGGTCGGGGAAGCCCTGCTCCTCCTAAAGGCTCTAGGGAAGAATTCCTGCTTGTCTTCTCCCAGCTTCGGGTGGTTGCCAGCAGTCTCTGTTGTCCCTGGGCTTATAGCTGCACCATTCCAATCTCTGCCTGTGAGGTCACATGGTCTTCTTCCCTGTGTGTGTGTGTGTGTGTGTGTGTGTGTGTGTGTGTGTGTGTGTGTTTCACATTAGCAACATTTCCATGGCATGCTAATTGCAAAAAGCAAAAATAAATGTGGTGTGTGTGTGTACACATATACACACATATACATAATGTTGTAAACAATGGTTGTCTTTAGATGGATACCCTTTTTTCTTGTGACTTCCAAATAAACATGTTATTTTTAGGATGAAAATGTTTTATTGAAAGACGGAAAACATCCATTATAACTGACTGGATTTTGGAATTTGTGCTTTTTTACTTGGACATCTGTCCGTGTGTTCTTCTGTTGCCCAAACTGAAGGAATGTGAAACGTCCCTTCTCCTTGGTTCTACCTCCTGAGACTCTGGTCTGCTCCTTTCCAGCTT